ACGCACCTGACCACGCACGTCTGACCACACACCGAAACCTTTTTGGGCATTCCTCAGAATAAATATCCTCAGTAATCTGCATCAAGGCAGTTCGTCAACTGTGTGAGGTCGGATTATGTTTTAAAACTGGCTTTATGACAATCTGCTATAGGTTTTCGCTTTGCTTTGTTCGGGGTACGGTTGCCTAAAATGCTAGGGGGGTTTCGCTTGTTTTGACAGATAGGAGAAGGTCAGACGTCAGAGTCAGGCGTCGCATAGGCCCATTTAGCTTAATGCACATACACATACACGAAGGCTGTCGCGGCGTCCTTACTCATCACACTCGTACAAGAAGCGTGCAGCGCGGTTCGCAGATGCCGGTAACGAAAAATGACGCATTCCATGCATGGTTGTTTGTGCGAGGCACGCGCTAGACGTACGCGCTGTAAGCCACGTCAGTCAGTCAGTGCGCCAGATCTCATTATTTCTAGTCGATTTGACCGTTGAATTATGCGAAAAAAAGGCGAACAAGACGACACTAATCTGTAACTCCTACTTCGTGTTTTCTTTATAACACTTTTAATCGTGTCTGGTGGTCATCTGATGGATTCTATATTGACTGCTGAAGAAGTCCTGCGTGGGCAGTCAGTTTACTCTATCTGACTTGGTGGATTGCATACGTTGCGATAAGCTGAGCCGGTAAATTGATCTAAGTGTGATTAAACTCAGGGCACCTATTGGGGGCTTCGGAGCTCACTTGGCTAGAGCGTTGGTATTACTAAAGCTGGCGTGCTTTAGAATCCCACCGAAATCGCCAATTTTTTTACAAATGGTTCAAATGAATTATTCAAAAACAGTGTTTCGGTTGAAGTACGGAGACGATTATAGTGCCAAAAACTGACTACGGATTCTGTCTACCATACTTTTTGGACTGACTATGCAAACGAAATTCATTTGCCCGGGAAGATCGTCCCTCGCAGAGTGTAGGCTCCGTAGAAATCAAATGCCACACAACGACGTTAACGGTGATAAAATTTAACGATTGTTATCTTTCTTTGTACATAGATTTGAATTTATTAAGTAGTGTTTTGCAATTGAGAGCAATTTTGTTATCAAATACGAAATTAAATTTAGGATCCCTTTATATATATAAAAAGTGTTTTAGCTAGCTGGAGAGTTCGGAATGCTAACCACATCTTTTGCT